ATATTTTCACCATTTTTTATTTTTATTTTTTTAATTTTATTTCTTAGTCAAAGGTCATTGTGGAATTAGACAAGAATGAAAATGTTATTTACTTGTATTTCCTCACATTATCAGCTACAGATTTGTTTACTAACATATGATGTGACGAAATTTAATTGGTTTAAAATCTCATCAACCAAATAAAAAAAAAATAAAATCTTTTCCACATTTTTTTGACACCTCGTCAATTTGTATAAGATTATGTAAATAGTGATGTACAACAAGGATTTTTCTCAAGTGTATTTGATATATAAATATTTATGTAGTATATTATAAATTATTTTTAAATTAGTAAGTAAATATGATTTTTTCCCAAAAACATATGGGAATAATTCATATTTAAGGTAATTATAATACTTAATTTCAAAATTAAGAAAATTATTTTAAAGTTTCAAAAATCAGGTCTTAATTAAGATTTATTAATTAAATAATATTTTATTAATCAAATATATTAAGTTCACAATATTATACAATTTATGGTCACAGCTACAAATTTTATAAGTCTTGCCTATTTTCTCGGTCACGGTTATCAAATTAATTGGTCACATATTATTTTTTGATCATAAATCACAAATTCTATAGGTCACAATTTCTTTTAAAGTTCACAAATTTTCAAATTAAAAGATCACATATTATTTCTCAATCACAATTCACAAACTTTATAAGTCACAACTTATTTTACAATCCCAAATTATCAAATTAATTGGTCACATATTACAAATTTTACAGTCATAAATTATCAAATTAATTGGTCACAACCTAACCATTTTATTGATCACAATCACCCATATAATTCGTCAAAAATCATTTATTGATCACAAAATAACAATTTTATTAGTCACAATCACCCAAATAATTGGTCACAACAACCCAACCCGACCCAACCTAATACCATGCCACATCATCACCAACTTCACCGCCACCTCTACCTCTATCATATGTGACCATAACCACCACCACCATCAACACCACACAAATACTAAAATCAGCACCTACATCTACACCATCATCACCAGATCCACCACCAAAACCAACATAACACCAACATATTTATTACCACTGTAAGCACCACCACTCCAACAACAAAAGAAAAGCCAACCACAAAAAAAACCAATACCACCATTGATGATCACCGCTGCAGCCACGATATGAGCGTTACTGCGTGCGGCATTGTGCAGAGTTATATGCAATGACGTCATCGCCACTGCACGCGACTTTCTCTTCTCAGAACTACTACGACAGTATTACGTCCCAACGCGACTTTCTCTTCTTAACATCTCTGCAACAATGACGATTATGCAACAACACATGCATCGCTGCAATGACAATGTTCGGCTTATCTTCGCAGCACGTTGCGCAACGACGTTCAGACCTTCTCGGTGGCTTCGTCTGTAGCGCTGTCTAACGGAGAGGGTAGAAAGATACGTGAGAGGGAAAAAATGATTTAGGGTTTGAATTGGGTGGATAGGGTAGGGTGTGAGTATATAAATTAATTTATATTATTAGTAATATTAAAATATGGAATTATAACCTATTTTTTTGTATAAATAAACCCTAACTTGATTTTTGAGTTGAAAATGTTAAATACTCGTGTGGATGTAATTTCCACAAAATCTAGTGACAATTATACCACAAGTATTTAAAGATGACAATTCTAAAATCAGTTATAAATTTTACTTAATCACAAATCAAGTATTCAATCAAAATTAAAATTACCATATCTATCCTCTCACTATCTTTATCTCTCATAGCCTCAGGTTCTCTCTCTCACATCTCTCATCACAGAAGACCACCATAGGCTTGTCGTTGCGACGATGAAGTCATTGTCGCTGTAACGCGCTGTAAGCGACAATGTTGCCGCAAAAGTGTGATGCGGCTGAGGAGGTCAGCAGCGAAGATAAAGTGGCTGAGATTAAACCTTCTCGTTTTGAGGAATCAATGAAGTATGCAGGGAGGAGTGCCGTGATGCTGACATTTGCAAGTACCAAGCATTTTTCCAGACATTGAAGTAGTCAAAAGGGTTTGGGACTAAATTTCGATTTGTTGAGACAAGTGCTGGTGCTACTGGATCTGACCCTTTTTGCTGCTTCTACTAGTTTGGCTGAAGAAGATGACTTGTAAGTTAGGTTGTTCATGTACTTCTACAAGCTATGATGCTCGTTTTATATTTCTATGTTGGGTGTTTGGGTGATGTATGATCTTGTGACCTGATTTTGATTGTGATGTTGGGTGTTTGGGTGATCTGTTGCGATGTTGGGTGATTTTGTGAATTTGATTGTGATGTAGTGAGGTGGTGCTGGGGTTGGGTTGGATTGGATTGTGGTTGTATGTACCGTGGTAGTGTCGGTGGTGCAGGTGGTAGTTCTAGTGTTGGTTGTGGTGCTGGGTTTAGATTGAGTTGAGGTTGTATAAACACAGTTTGTCACCAATAAATTGGGTTAATATGTAATCAATAAATAATTTGTGACCATTAAAATAGATAATTTGTGACATTGATGCAATGTCATATGCCCTGTGCACAACGACACGTGACATGTGAACTGGTAACATACATTTCTTTGTGCACTTGTTATAGGTCACAGATTAATATTTACAAGTCACAAATCAAATAGAATTGGTCACAGATCATATATATTCACATATCACATGTTATAGTTACATGTCACCATTCACATATATAGGGCCATATTGTATATGTCACAGATGTTCGAACACATTTGACTAACTAGAGTTCACAACTCAATATTAATTGGTCTCATGTAACATGTCATCATCCATAGGTAACAGATCGATGTTTACATGTCACAAATTATAGTTCACATGCCATTGGAACAATATCACACGTAACAAATCAATGTAAATTGAGTCATGTAAATTCAAGAGAGTTGGTCACATGATATTGATTTCTCTGAACTGCTCACAAATTCAATTAACTAGATTTCGGCTGTGAGAATTGAAGTTATTTGATCTGATTAGTATTCTGTAAATTACATCAAGGAATGTTTTTCAATTTTTTATTTTAAAAAATAAATTTAAATTACATAAGCTGCTATGTTTCTCCTCCTCTCTTTACTATTTGAGCATGCAATGCTTAGTTGTCCCTGAGCCATCAGTTTGTTATTGCAAAAGATGTTCAGTTGCCAGCAATCTTTGTAAATTTTATCTTTTCTCCGACGAAGTTATTACGATGTTGATTGGTAGATGTTGGCAGGGAGGATGCCGATGACTGTGGTCCTGACTAGAGAGAGATTGCAATTAGTTTATATATAATACAATTTAATTAGCACGAGTTTTGGAAATATAAACTTATTATCTGAAAATTGAATTGGTGTATAATTAATTCCTTATATATGATTTTTTCCCCAAAATCTATTCCACCAGACAATGGGCTCAAACAAACCACAAATGATTTTAAGTGGCCCACAGCAGCCCAACAAGCCGGATTGATCCCCCACCGTCATTCAAATATTCGATTCAACATACGCAGAGGGTGTAGACTGTGGATACTGCAAAGTCTAGGGCTTGGGAGCTGAGAGCAAAGCTTAATGGAATTGGTAGCAGAGAAGAAAGAACAGGAGACCAACAACTCCGGCAACAATACGACTAATACTCAGCCGCAGCTGGTTGCCTATTCTGCTCCGGCCGACAGAGAAATTGAAGGCCGCGAACGCATCGCACTCGATCTCAAAGCTGGTCTTCATCCTCTCAAGGTTCGTATCGTATTTCTGTATTTCTCTCTATGCGTGGATGTGTACAAATGGTGTACATATACGTATTCTATCTGTATAAAAGTATCCATTTCCATGTGTCTCTCGGAATTTCATTTATTGGTGATATTGGGAATCGGTGCCTATAGTTTTGCCTTTTATAGGTACATATCGTATTTACGTATCGTTTTGTATTATTACTCTTTGCATCGAAGAGCGCGTGAAACTTGGGATTGCTTATTAATAACTAGATTCGTATTAAGGATCGATTGAAAATTAGAAATGATAATTACTAGTTCAAAGATGATAAACGGTCCTGCTTTTATTTGCTAATTATGATATGAAATAATGACCTTCTATAGGTGATTGAGTGATGTTGGAAACAAAGACTTCATATTATTTTGATTGTTACTTCTTGATCTAAAGGAAGTTACGATGTAGTATCAAAGTCATACTATGATAAGGTTTAGAGTCTAGAGATGTATCATATTGGAGCCAGAGCCGTAGAACCAGGGTTCTGATGTTGGAGAAAAAGATTTAATGTATATGAAATAGTGGAAAAAAAATACTTTTGATATGTACCGGATTCAGTTCCCACTAATTCAGGGCTGCATCTATCATGGTATAAAAAGGCGGTAGTGAGGCGCGCTTTGGGGCCCGCCTTACTGTGAGTCGCATGTAGTATACCTCGAGTCGGTATTTTTTAGGCTAAAAATATGAGGCTCACGCCTCTAAATCTGAGGCGCACGCCTCAAGGTTCACGCCTCATTTAAAATTTGATTTTTCAATTGTATGAAAAGAAATCAGAAAGAGCCCTTCTTAAAAAAGAAAAAATCCATTTAAAAAGGCATTTGGGACTCCAAACAAAACAATAAAATACCTAAAAAACTAAATGGCAGCCAAAAATTAGAGGGCCAAAAAGGGAACAGATTCAACAGAAATTCAAAAGTCAGAATTCAAGAATATCGTTTTCTTCATCAGTTCAACATGTATGTTTTTCCTCTTTTCTTTTTATTTTTCTTAGGGTTTAGTAAATCTTGCATGCAATTAGTTGCTTCATATACACATCTGGAAATTATAAATTTTATAAATGTTTTGATTTATATAATTAACACACGATTTCATCCAATCGCTTGTATAAACTCTAAAACTAGATGAAGATGGTTTTGTAGAAATTGAGAGTAGCGAAGATGAAGATGATGGGGAAATTAGATATGATGATTCCATTAACGATGCTAGTAATAGTGATGATAGTGCAGACTATTAGTTTTTTTTTAGTTTGAACTGCTTCTTTTTTTCATTGCAAATGAAGTGATTTCTAACTTCTGTAATGCCTTTTATTTTGCTAAATATCTTCTTTCTTTAGGTGGACTATATATCAATATGCTAATGACTATATATCCTATTTGCTATATGTTCAAACTTTGATTTTTTGTATTATTTTGGAATTCTTTTATTTAGAGTTTTTGTTTTTTGTGAGGCTTACGCCTCAATCCGCTTCGAGGCGCCTCATAAAGAAAAACCGCCTCAGTACTTAGTTTCGCATTTTTAAACCTTGGCATTTATGTCTTTCTTTAAGTATGTATTTGTTTGTGAAGACAAATATGGTGAAGAAGAGAATAAATCTATATTGTGCGTTTACGAATGCCTCTAAATGTACACATAAGAATCTCCACCTGCGAACCTGGTTCAAATATATCATTCGTTCCTAGTTTACTGAAATTATATCATATGGATGCTGCTGCAGTCCCCAAGTCAATCCCATAATATGTCAGCTCGTTGATATACTGCAAGAACACAAGGCATGCATGCAAGTCCATCCTCTGTTTTTTCCTTGATGATATGTCAATCCACCTCAGCATGCTTTTGTCTTGTTGCTCCAGATCGCAAGCAATATATTAATTGATGCTTTGTTGTCACTATAGAGCTTTATTGGTAACTCTAACTCAATCTTTAGCTCTGTAAGAAACTGTTTCAACATAATAGCTCTCAAATTTCTTGTGCTATCGCACTTAACTCTGCTCAAACTCTACTTGCAACAACCTGTTGCTTTTGCTTGTCCTCTCCACATTACTAGGTTGCCCGAACAAAAATGCAATTTCCTGAAGTCGGTCTCTTATCACTCGTATATCTTGCCAGTCAGCTTTTATGTATGTTTCGACCTGCAAATGATTCTTTCTTGAATAACTGGATCTTTAGATCACGTTTTGAGAAGGAGCTAGTCAGGGCGTGCTTCGCAGTGAGACGTACCTACTGTGCCGAGGCATTAATTATAGTACTTTTTCGATGAGGCTGGTGCCTCATTTATTGAGGCGCATGCTTCTATATGCGTGCCTCAAGGAGTGTGAGGCCTGCACCTCAATTTTGTTCTACCGTGACCTTTTTTTTTTTTCTTTTTAACTTTTTCCTCTTTTGCAAGTCTTAAGCATGAGTTTCATATATAATAAAGGGGAGGGCCAATCTTTTTCCCAAATAAGAAAAAAAAAGTGGGCCTATCAATTCTGTTATTGTGTGACGAAACAATAAAAAACCTAAATGACCCTACTATACTATCCCACGTCTCACCACTTTCAAGAAACAAGAGAACCTTCTTCTGAAACTTCCAGCAGGTAAATAATTTTATTTACAATTTTTTTCTTTTATTTCTAAATATTTCTCTCTTTCTATCTCTGATTTTAATTTTTTATTGTTCTTTTATTTTTGAATATCTGTCTCTCTGATTTAATTTTTTTTTTTTTGTATTCTCGATTTTTTATTTATTTATAGTTCATCATATGTTTATTTTGTATTATTTTAAAATAATTTTTGGACTTACTTTTTTTGGTTTGTTATGAGGCTTAATTGTTAATCCGTCTTGAGGCTTACGCCGTGAAAATGCCTGAGTACCGATTACTGCCTTTTTAAATATTGCTTCAGATACATGAGTATTCTATAATGGCTTCTTGGCCTTCACACATGAATGCATGAATTGGCTAAGAACACTCAATGCAAAGGATGAATCTGGTCAAGTATGAGATTAATAAATTAATTTACCAGCCAGCTGCTAATACATGTCTCTCTCTACTTTTTCTCCTCTTGTAGTTCCTCCATATTTGTAGTTTGGTTTTATGGAATGATTATTTGGTTTGCGTCCCAGCATCCAGTCTCTTTATAAAATCTAATGGGATTAAGAACTCCAGTCTTGAACCTTGCAACCATCCTCGAGAAATACTTTCAAATGACCAAGATCTTTGATCTTGAATTCTTTAGCTAGAAGCCTTGAATCCCTTTCAATCTCGTCATTTCTGCAACATTTCTTTCTCTTAGATAAATATCATCATTGTTAACAACATATTTATATAAACCCTAACATAAGAGGGGGAGTTGGTGGCCAGCACTCTGTTCCAGGTACTTTTAGAGGCTAAACCTTAGTTCAGCTAGCTCGTACAAACTGCCTGGAGGGACTTTGGATGAGAATGGAAAATTAAGGAAAAGGCCCCATATTTTATTCAACAGCATTGTCATCTTGTGCTCCATCTATTCACTTTTCTGTACCTCTGAAAGCTATAGTTGAAACAATATTATATGGTAAAAAGGGTCTTCTATGATTTCCTCGAGGCCTTGTTGTCGTGATTTAGCTTCTATTAATTTATTGTGCAAATACTAGGATGCTTTAATTGTTTCTGGATGTTTTAGGATGACATTGTGCTGTGACTATTGGCTGTCAATAATTTTGAAAATTAATAAAATGATATCGGTAATGATCCAATCTGAGTTCATTCTTTTCTCCCCAGAATTGCATGAGTACAGGTAAAATCATCTTGTTGAATTTAAGAAGGATATTTTGTTGATAGTTTTTTTACTTGTTAGAAAGATGCCTTTTGTCAATGTTGTTACCTAATGTTATGATGATGTCATATACTTTTGTAGTGATTATGACGAAATTTCTTTCTTCGATGTGATTGTTAGCACAAATTTGTATTCTGGTACACTCGCCGCACACCTGGAGTTAGAACTCAAACATCATATGAGGACAATATAAAGAAGATCATAGAATTTAGCACGGTAAGTTTTCTCTCTTCAATGCAAATGTTTTAAAGATGTTCAAATTGGCTAGCTTTTAGCCTTTCACCTTACTGTGAGTTCTATGTAGAGATTTAGCATTTCCTATTAATTTCAGTTCTACTTACTGGATTAATGCATTATTCTTACAGTATAAAGTTGATTGATCATAGGTTGAAAGTTTCTGGGTCTGCTACTGCCACTTGGCTCGGCCCTCGACAATGCCAAGTCCAACTGATTTACATCTTTTCAAGGAGGGTATTCGTCCACTGTGGGAGGTATGATTTTGCAGCTTGAGTCGGTGAATTGTTTTCTTCTATCTTTCTTCTACTTTGTTTAGTTATTCTTTTAAAGACAAAATATTTATTCATGTTATTTCCTTCTTTCAGGATTCTGCTAACTGCAATGGTGGTAAATGGATTATTAGATTTAAAAAGTCTGTCTCAGGTCGCTTTTGGGAAGACCTGGTATGGGAAAAAAATTGCCAATAATGTGATTTCATGTCATCTAGCTCCATGATATTATCTTTTTCCTGTTCATATGATTTCATGTGTTTCCAGTTCCCTCTCTACTTTCTGTTTTTGGGTTGTAAGCTTCCATGTCAGTGAATCTTAATTGCTACAGCTACTTTGATGACTTTTTGGTGGGGAAACAGAATTCTTCTGTCATCTGTATGCAACTTCTTTGAACCTTCCTTGTCTATCAATTTTACTAGAGCCAATAAAGTCTCTCTGTATGTGTGTTTGGAAGGGGATGTGATAAACTATTCTCTGCCTTTATATTGGGTGTACTCTAATGTTTGGACAGTATTCTCTAATATAATTGCATTGACATCTTTTATTTTTCATTGGACTTTGTACTGATGACATAGTCCATTACCCCCATACCCCCCCTCAAAAGAAAAAATACAAATCAACTTGAAGCCCAATTACATACTTACCTGTGGTCGTCTACATGGATAATTCTCTTCCATTTTTCTGTCTACTATCATAATTACATACTCGTGGCACTGAAATCATGCATTGGGTAGGCAACATTGATGCATTCTTCATCATATTTAACCTTCTACTATTGGCTGTTGAGAATGTAAACATCTGAAAAAATTTGCTTATAGTATCAACGTGAAAATCTGCCTGCAGGTTCTAGCTTTAGTGGGAGACCAACTTGATTATGGCGATAACATTTGTGGTGCAGTATTAAGCATCCGTTTTAATGAGGACATACTGAGCGTGTGGAACCGCAATGCAAAGGATAACCAGGTCAGTAGTTTTTAGTTTGTCATCCAAGCCCTTGTTGTGTCTCCTTGACTAAGTAATTAACTGACTTTGGTTTGTTTTTACCAGGCTGTAATGGCACTGAGGGATGCTATCAAGCGACATCTTAAGCTTCCCCATAGCTATGTAATGGAATACAAACCCCATGATGCTTCATTGCGTGACAACTCATCATATAGAAACACTTGGTTGAGAGGATAGAAAATTGCCCCATTGTGCTAGCAAATGTGCAGAACGGAAGTTGTGGTCAAAATGACAAAACAGTTATACATGTTTAAGAATCTCTTGATTCACGTCTTTTTCCCTGAAATATTAAGAATTTCTATGTTTGAAATGGTTTTCGTTGTCAGCATGGCTTTAACCTCTGCCTATATCATGTGATTTGCCATGCTTAAAGATATCTTTCATTCCATGTGGAACTTTGGTCTTGGTCGAAAAAATCAAATTAGAATAATTTTTTGAGTAGAGACTGATTTGTTGTTGCCAAAACAGTTTTTGGCAACAGCCAATCACAAGAAGACAACTGTCTTCCTGTACAGTACCTATGAAAAAACCGTGTTTCATCAAATTTATGCTTGCTCCTCATCGTGTGTACTCGACCTTTGTGGTGTTTTTGGCGACAGCCAATCATAGGGAGACAACTGTCTTCCTGTACAGTACTAGTAAAAAACCCTGTACTTATAGCATGTTTCATCAAATTATGCTTGCTTCTCATCGTGTGTACTTGACCTTTGTGGTGGATTAATTCAAAGTGACCTCAAGCTCAGATCACGACTAGATAGTCAATGTATATAATATGATTGAGGCTCCAATAAGAAAACTACAATGGTAAAACTGAACTGCGCCAAAAATTATTAATTGGTTGCCTATAAAAAAATAGGTTCTTGTGCATCGTTTGTCTTGGGATAACCATTCGAAATGCATCGCAAAGTGTGCCTCGTAACTCCAATGGAGGGTATTGATTTCATAATCTGAAACACTGTTATCGTTACCACAATCACTCAGCGATCTCCGCCCAAAATGATATTTTATACACTTATTCGGGGCTTAAAATATTGATATTTGGTCATTCTTTTGACAAAATATTTTTTAAATTGTTGTATTTTATGTTATATATGTAAAACTCAATGATTGAACGAGGATTTGAAAGAAACAAAAGAAAATCAAGGGAAAATCGCAAAGTCCAAAGTTTGAGGATCAAATTGTAAATATTTAATAGTTAATTAGGACCACAAAAATGATAATTTAAAGATTTCAATGAGACAATTGGATGGAATTAGAATTCAAAAAGGAATGGAATATTATCAAAATATTATCAAAATCAATTTTTAGTCGTGTAAGTTATATTGAAGATTTTTAACTGAAAATTGAGACCCATTTTTTACATAGTGAACGTCCGAATCGAAAAATTCTACAACTGGAAAAGTTGTATCCCTTTGAGTTATCTTTTCAACGCACTTTGAATCACTACAATCAGATATCATGGAAAATTATGGCCAAAATACTGATTGATGTTTAGAGACAAAAAAATCATCTCGCAAATTCAACTTTCCTTATTCGATTGGAATTCTCTTGGAAATCAATTTGGACTTGATTTTCTACCAAATTTCTACTCTTACAAATCCCTAACAACAGAATTCTAGACCTCTCATATACATATTATACTCCAATACTTATCAATTATTATCATCAAAGTAGGAAAATTCTCACAATTGAATGGGACTTACAAGAATTCAATCGAGTGAAAATTCAAATTTGATTTTTGAACAAAGAAGAGAATGCGCAAGTGGAGTTTCATCAAGAAACCATTGAAAAGATTCAAAATTTCAAAATTCATCTTCTCAATTATCAAAAACTCGGGTCGTCTTTTCACTTAAATATGATTTCTTGTAATTTCGATATGTTATGCTAATTTTATACATTGCTAGGATGAGATGAACACTTGTTATAATGTTTTTAGTTTTTTATTAATTATTTTGACTTTAATTTGATTTGATTTGTGGATATTCTTTATCGTTTTTATCGTTTTTTTTCCAATTATTTGATTACCAATTGAATTGTTAGTAGATTTTATTGTTATCGAGAGAGACAATAGGATTTAAGCATAATATAATAAACATTATAAGGTTTGATAGATAATATAAATATATCTCTATATTTTATATGGTTTCAATATGTGTTCTAACACTTGTTAATGTATTTATTATGTTTGCATCTTTCATCGAGAGATAGAAGAGTTACATGAGAGGAATATATTTGATCGCTATCAAGAGGGGCTTTCAATTAAATTAGGAACATTGACCAATATGAATGATTTCAAATTGTCACTTTTATTGTTACACTAAAAATGGAATAATAAGAGGGATTTAGCATCTTGGCAATGCATTTCACATATTTGAAAAACATAAATGATTTCAAATTATCACTTTAATTATTACACTAAAAATGGAATAATGAAGGAGAATCGACATCATAGCAATGCATTTCACATATTTGAAAAACACATTTACTTACTTAACTTTCATTAGTTTAATTGATAATTTAGAAATTGGTATAAAAAAATCACAAAATTTGTTTTCTATTCGATTAAAGTTGCAATTAATTTTAATTCGATCAAATACGTAGTCCCCTTGGGGTCAACACTTTATTCACTACTTTATTGTGTGTTCACGATATCATTCACTTGCAGGTTTTCAAATGATCATTGTTCATAAATCCAATGCCAAAATTTCTATTTTTGGGTCGAAATCCTTTTTAATTCTTTCATTGATTCAAAGGTGGAAGAATCTTTGGTTATATTAGTCTTCCAATCTTTGACAAAGAAGTTAAAAAAACGTGTGACTATGGGTAGTGACAGATATGACGATCAACTGATTTTTGATGAGGCAATGACATTGAGATTCAGTAGTAGTTGTTGGATAATTTCAACAAATTTGTGGCCACACGTTGTATATTAAAATGTGTGGTGCTATTATTTAAAGGATGTTAGTCAATTAAAGTGATCCGTTAAAAATGTATTGTGACTAATGAGTATTATGTTTCATGGAAATATAGTGTAGAGACCGAAGTGTTGTTTTAAATTG